ATGGGTGACTAAACTTAATCTATTCCTAGTCCTTGGAAGGTTAATAAGTGGTTTTTCCAAAGTTTTACTAGTTAATGTATGACTATTTGAATAATCTTCAAAAGTAGTTTCAATTTTATCTAATTGTTTACCAATAGTTTTTAAACATTGATTGGTATAATTATTTTGTTCAATAACTTTTTTAATTTCAGATTCATCACCAGGTATTTTAAAATAAGAAGCATTTATTGTGGAGCCTTTATGGTCAATCGGGATGGTTTCTAAAGGAGGATGACTAGACGAAACGGTAGTATTAGTGGAGGTTTTCCATTTAGTTTTGGTTATAGTGTTTATGTTGTGATAATAAATTTCAAATTAATCAAAGAAGTTGACTTCAGTACCTAATTTTTTCATAAATTTATATCATTTCTTGGTTATTTTGGATTGTTGTTGTTGATTATAAGTAGTCCTATAAGTCTGTCGTTTTAATTTATTATCTTTAGATTTGAATTCATCATAAAGTTTTTTAAGGTCAATTGTAAATTGTTTTTTGAGAGTTAATAATCGAGGATTAACAGGAGGAATGACTTCAAAATCCGTTTGTGTAGGTGATTCTTGAGATGTAGTTTTTTCATTAGGAATTTGTGTAGAGTAAACAAGTTTACTAATTTGAGATGTAGAAGAGGTGTCTATACCCTTTAGTTTACTATGAGAAATTTGAAGATTTCTATCTTTGCGAGTAAATAATGGTGTACTAAAAATTTCATCTTCTTTATCATTAGGTTGACTAGAGATACTATGTCGTGAAGATTGACTACAATTTAAATGATCAAAACGTATATGGACTGATCCATCATCATATTGTTGGATTTGATGTAAATCATTACTATCATATTGATTTTTATGGAAATAATTTTCATTAACTGTAATCCATCTATCTGGAAGAGTAATATCTTTCCAAATGATGATTTTTGGAACATCAATATTAGCATTAGAGGTACTACCTTGGATAAGTAGTGTTTTATCTTTAGGACTTTTAACTAAAGCATGGACATTTAAATTGGTTTGTATGCACTTATAATTAATTCGATAAATTAGAGTGATAGAATGGGCACCTTCTAGCATATCAGTAAATTCATCAGAAACTCAAATATTTAAAGTAAGGGCTTGTAATATGTGAGGATCACTTAAACTTAATGTGGAATAAGGAAAACAATTAAAATGAACTGGACCTTGATGAAGACTAGATTCCATCATTCCTAACATACTGGTGTGGTATTTTTTGAATCTAGCATCTCTTAGGCAGAGTAATGCAGATAAGTTTATGCCTTTAACAGATAGAGGTTTGACTACAACTTGTACCAGTCCAATATGAATAAAATTATGACCAGTTGACTTATGCTTTTTAATAGAGTCTTTAGTTAATATTTGACATGTTTCATGTACTTTTGTTAAAGTATAAACTTTTTCAATAGTTTTTATTTGGAGATCAATATTGAATGAAGATTTGAGAAAACTTGTTTTTATAAATTTCTTTAATTGGTGCTTTTGGTATATTCCATCCTAAATCTATTTTTAAATTTTGAAATTCATGTTCTTCTTCGTTTACTACTGTATCAGGTATGAGAGCTAATGTTGTAGATCTACAGCTGATTGAAGAGCTACTTCAGAATAATCGACTTATTGTTCTAAATGCTATATTCAAGAAATCTAAATTCTTGGATGACTTATCATATTTTCACATACTATGTTTTCCCTCATACCCTTTATGAGAACCCCTATATCCATCTACGGCCTATCCTAAGGACTTACACTGGATGTGAGACGAAAAGTGGGTGGCTACTAGTAAAGTGGAAAATGGGTGATAAGTTGGGAAGAATAAAGAAGACTTGAAGCAATTTACAGAAATAGAATAGAGAAGATGTAAACAGAAACAACTAATCAATAAGCTAACATCATCATCAACTTAGCTCTGATACCAAAATACAAACTAATTAATACTTTAAGTCTAATTTTTTTTTGGTATACATGTTAATTTTTAAATCAGTTATGAAAGCTAATATTGTAGATCTAGAGCTGACTGAAGAGTTACTTCAGAATAATTGACTTATTGTTCTAAATGCTATAAATGGATTCAAGAAATCTAAATTCTTGGATGACTTATCATATTTTCACATACTATGTTTTCGCTCATACCCTTTATGAGAACCCCTATATCCATCTACGGCCTATCCTAAGGACTTACACTAGATGTGAGACGAAAAGTGGGTGGCTACTAGCAAAGTGGAAAATGGGTGATAAGTTGGGAAGAATAAAGAAGACTTGAAGCAATTTACAGAAATAGAATAGAGAAGATGTAAACAGAAACAACTAATCAATAAGCTAACATCATCATCAACTTAGCTCTGATACCAAAATACAAACTAATTAATACTTTAAGTCTAATTTTTTTTTGGTATACATGTTAATTTTTAAATCAGTTATGAAAGCTAATATTGTAGATCTAGAGCTGACTGAAGAGTTACTTCAGAATAATTGACTTATTGTTCTAAATGCTATAAATGGATTCAAGAAATCTAAATTCTTGGATGACTTATCATATTTTCACATACTATGTTTTCGCTCATACCCTTTATGAGAACCCCTATATCCATCTACGGCCTATCCTAAGGACTTACACTAGATGTGAGACGAAAAGTGGGTGGCTACTAGCAAAGTGGAAAATGGGTGATAAGTTGGGAAGAATAAAGAAGACTTGAAGCAATTTACAGAAATAGAATAGAGAAGATGTAAACAGAAACAACTAATCAATAAGCTAACATCATCATCAACTTAGCTCTGATACCAAAATACAAACTAATTAATACTTTAAGTCTAATTTTTTTTTGGTATACATGTTAATTTTTAAATCAGTTATGAAAGCTAATATTGTAGATCTAGAGCTGACTGAAGAGTTACTTCAGAATAATTGACTTATTGTTCTAAATGCTATAAATGGATTCAAGAAATCTAAATTCTTGGATGACTTATCATATTTTCACATACTATGTTTTCGCTCATACCCTTTATGAGAACCCCTATATCCATCTACGGCCTATCCTAAGGACTTACACTAGATGTGAGACGAAAAGTGGGTGGCTACTAGCAAAGTGGAAAATGGGTGATAAGTTGGGAAGAATAAAGAAGACTTGAAGCAATTTACAGAAATAGAATAGAGAAGATGTAAACAGAAACAACTAATCAATAAGCTAACATCATCATCAACTTGGCTCTGATACCAAATACAAACTAATTTGGCTTGAAAAGAATTAATTGAAATCAATACAAACTAATTAGAGTTGAAAATAATTTTTTACAGACTAATTGTTTACAAACAAATTGTTTAAAGATAAAACACTACTAGCCACCCATCTTTCATTCCACATCTAGTGTAAGTCCTTAGAATATGCTGTAGATGGATATAGAGATTTCCGGAAAGGGTGTAGATGGATATAGAGATTTCCGGAAAGGGTGTAGATGGATATAGAGATTTCCGGAAAGGGTGTAGATGGATATAGAGATTTCCGGAAAGGGTGTAGATGGATATAGAGATTTCCGGAAAGGGTGTAGATGGATATAGAGATTTCCGGAAAGGGTGTAGATGGATATAGAGATTTCCGGAAAGGGTGTAGATGGATATAGAGATTTCCGGAAAGGGTGTAGATGGATATAGAGATTTCCGGAAAGGGTGTAGATGGATATAGAGATTTCCGGAAAGGGTGTAGATGGATATAGAGATTTCCGGAAAGGGTGTAGATGGATATAGAGATTTCCGGAAAGGGTGTAGATGGATATAGAGATTTCCGGAAAGGGTGTAGATGGATATAGAGATTTCCGGAAAGGGTGTAGATGGATATAGAGATTTCCGGAAAGGGTGTAGATGGATATAGAGATTTCCGGAAAGGGTGTAGATGGATATAGAGATTTCCGGAAAGGGTGTAGATGGATATAGAGATTTCCGGAAAGGGTGTAGATGGATATAGAGATTTCCGGAAAGGGTGTAGATGGATATAGAGATTTCCGGAAAGGGTGTAGATGGATATAGAGATTTCCGGAAAGGGTGTAGATGGATATAGAGATTTCCGGAAAGGGTGTAGATGGATATAGAGATTTCCGGAAAGGGTGTAGATGGATATAGAGATTTCCGGAAAGGGTGTAGATGGATATAGAGATTTCCGGAAAGGGTGTAGATGGATATAGAGATTTCCGGAAAGGGTGTAGATGGATATAGAGATTTCCGGAAAGGGTGTAGATGGATATAGAGATTTCCGGAAAGGGTGTAGATGGATATAGAGATTTCCGGAAAGGGTGTAGATGGATATAGAGATTTCCGGAAAGGGTATGAACGAAAAGATAATATGTGAATATATGATAAGTCATCCAAGAATTTAGATTTCTTGAATCCATTTATAGCATTTAGAAACATGAATCAATTATTCCGAATTAACTCTTCAATTAGTTCTAAATCTACAACATTAGCTCCCATGCTTGATACAATATTTTCACTACTTGTTCAAACTAATTGTTTATATTAATGTGTATCGATAAGAAGGATTAAAAATGTTAGCTCCCATACTGGATGTAGCTTGGATGATGAGTTAATTTTTTTAAACAAAAAAGAATAAAAAATCTAAAACGACGTGGATTAGTAAGACACAATCTCAACCTTCCATTCCCCTTTTTTACATTTATTTATTTTTTAACATTTGTCACTTTTTCAGGTTGATATTACTTTTTAGTAGTTCTTTTCGCCTCGTTTGGGAACAGGCTAATTTAGTAACTTTTTAGCTATTTAGCTAAAAAGGTAAGTAAAAAAAACTTGTATGTTTGAGATGATTTTTTGGCTAATTACGAAAAGATGTGCAAAAAGTAGAGAGAAAAGAGAATCTTTGACTTTTTGGTATGGGTTGTTGACTTTTTGACTAATTTAATAACTTTTTAGCTAATTGACTAAAATAACCTCTTGGCAAACGAGGCCTGAGTTGCATAACTGTCTAAAGGGTTAATAATTGTGTATAGTTGTGAGAATATATTCTATTCTACCAATATGATAACAAAATATAATATTATAGTCCTATTTGTTTCAGAACTTTTTGCATTTCGGTTCTTGTGAATTACTCCTGAAGCACTTCAACATTGGAGGATTGGTTCGTTCTGATTGAAGATGAGAACAATTGTTCGATCTGTTCGACAATTTCAATCAGTTTTTCGGCGTCGAGGATATACTATCTTAACTGGGTTATCAAGAAAACAAAATTATTTGGCTAGTGCTTGCTGTGTCTACAGATTCTCCTACAATGGTGAAATTTGTAGATATTCATATCCATATATGATCTCAAGAGCTCTGTTTGCTGATGCTGCTAAAGTAGCTAATGGAGGTTGCCTTTTTATCCTTTTCAATTTTGTTAAATAATCTTTAGCATGATGTTGACATTTCGATCTGGGTTTTAATTTGATTTGATTGTAGAAGTAAGCAAAGCAGGGCCTCTGATTGAGTATGAGCGTAGAATTGAAGCGGGTGATCTTGTGGATGGGGATAATTGTCAGGTATTGCAATCAATTCACTCTTCATGTTTGATTATAAGTTTTAAAGGAAAAGCTAGTAGTTTGTATGTCTCTTCCGAATTTTCTCCAGCCCAGAAGGTTACGTTTCTCATCTTCGATCGGAATTTTCCTTGGTTTGTAAATGTTTGAAAATTTATGCTCTCACTCCCTTACATGGCTTGTGTTTGTTAGCATTAATTAGTTTTGTTGTTGGTGGGGCAGTTGTTAGAATTAATGTGCTATTTGCTAGGTATCATTTGATTTGCTTTTAAGACCTAGAATTAATGCAATTTTGGTTCTTGGATGTGAAAAAGTACTTTTAAATGGTTATGCAGAAGATGTCTAAATTGTGAGAGTGATTTATTAATCCATATGTATTATCTAATTTGTTTGGTTTTCCTTTATTTGAGAATCAAAAAGTTTTTAGAAGTGTTATGAAGGTCGCATCGAGTCATGTATAGGCTACACTCCCCAAAGGCTTGTGCATCACAGTTTGAGGCGTGCACTTCACATACGCCTGGTATGCCTTTTACTCATAAGCATGTGAGGAGTACGTATAAGGAGAACTTGTTTTGGGCTATTGTTAAACTTAATCTAATATATGGTTTAAACATAAAAGTGAACCTCTTTTGTAATTATATTCCATGGGGAAAACATCAATTACATGACCAATAAAAATAAATAAATAAATAAATAAATAAATAAATAAAAAAAACACAAAGCTAACTAAGGCTTAATTGAGAAGCTTGATAACTAAAACTAAGAATGTTTTTTTCACCTTCGATGAGGGCAAGCTTCTTTATTTATAGTGAAATGTTCAATGTATTGAAGAAAAATGTATTCACACCTTTATATTTAGACCAAGTTTGGCATCCTCAAAAAAATCTAAAAAGTCAAAAGTCACTATCTTATTTAAGTCACATCACCTCTCTCACACATCACTTCAAACCCAATCCAGTTGCACCACCATCCCTCATTTAGGAAGTCCACTAGGCATTGGCAAGAGAAATACGCTCGAGCTGAGTAAACTGGGCAAGAGTCCATCACCTTCAGTTTGTCCATCAGCCAAACCTGGGAAGGGATGAAAAATAAGAGAGATTGAAGAATAGAGAGATGTATGTTGAGAGAAAAGTAAGGAAAGGGCTTTAAGAGAAAATAGAGTATGAATGTCAAGTGATGTGAGAAATATATATGAGATAGGGTGGAAAACAATACCTGGAGCAGTAGTGGACTACCCGCAAGCCTAGTGGTCTCTCGCTAGTGAAAAGCGTCCAAACCCATCAAGGTCTCGGCCAAGACCAAACCAATGCAACTCTTACCTTCTTTCAGGTGTTGGGTTACCTTAATCAACTTGATATTGGCTTCACCGAAACTAGGGGCGAGAAGATCATGTGCAAGCATACATAAGCAGAGGGTGTGTTGCCGAAAACCTCGCCAAAGGAGGTCACCTCAGTCACCAATGTTAGAAAATCGATCAATCAAGCTGGGCATATCTAGCTCTCTATCGTGGGCCAAGGATCAAGCTTTGTGTAAGATAAACCCACACATCCGTCCCAAGGCTAAGGCATGGCCAAAACGGGACTAAAGTATGATTTCCTCATTGCGCCAGGATTCCATTAGTGCCCGAAATTCTTCAAGAGTCAGGCATATTTCTTGTGCTCTGAAACAAAAGACATGCGTAATTGGGTCCCAGCATCGGACCGCGACATGAAGGAACGGAAAACAAAGTGGAATACAGCTCAACAAAAAAAGTGCATTTTTGTTGAAACCCCAAAAATTTACCTTTTTCATAACGTCTAAAGTGGCTATCCAATCCGTGAGTTTCTCAGCAAGAAATGGCTCCATTTGTGGAAAAAAACAACAGCTAAAATGAAGTTCTGGAGAAGAAATCACGAAAGAGGACCATTTGTATAAGACAAGGCTGTAGTGGGGGCCAATTGTCAGTTTTCTGATGGTTTTTCACATTGGTGGCCGGCAGGCCACTTCTCCTGGTCGGCAACCTCCCTTTTGTGGCCAACAACTCCCTTTTCTGGCCTGCCATCCACTTGTGTGTTAGGCAATGTTGGCAACCTGGTTTTTGTCTTGATCTTGGTGTTGTTCGATCTTGTTTTGTGTCTTTTGGTTTTCGCAAGTGTGTATAGTTGGTTTTGTTGCTTTATTTATCGACTTGTTGCTTTATTTATTGAGTTATGTTGTATTTTTGTCGTTGGTCGGCTCATTATCCGATCAAGAACATTATTCTAATGCAAGCATGTTCGATTTCAATTTGCATGTTCTGTTTCATGTAAATATATTATTCACGGTGCCGTGTTCATGCTGAAGAACCAAAAGTTACTCGTGGTGCAATGCTCATATTGTCGAACCAAAACTCTTTTCATAAAAAAACTGCAAAGGTTTTATTCCGATCATAGATTTTACAAAAACAAGTACAAGTTTCAAAAGCATAAGTAAAACCTATTTGAAGCTATACATGTGTTGAACTACCAAAACTAAAAGAAACTAAGCAAAAATGGTCTAAAACAGCGCCAATCATCTGAAGCTCGAGAGGCCCTTTTCGTCCTCTTCCTCAGAGGGGACTCAGAGGCACTATCTCCAATGGCACCACTACCAGAACCAGACTTTGAGCCTCCACACCCTGCATCGGAGCCAGCCTCGGCGTCATCTCTACTTTCCGATCCCGAGCTGGCATCATCATCCCCGCTCTCAAACTTAGAATGTCCACCCACTGTCTCCTTAGAGGCACTAGCCTCGTCATTATCATTGCCACTTAGGACGGGTTCTGAAGGACTGCTCCAGCCTTGGGCACTCTTGTCCCCACCTCGACCATGACGCTTATCTCGGCTGTGTCCTGGGGCCTGCCTCTCTCGCCCCCTGCTGCTAGAGGAGGTACTGCTGGTGCTGTTGCTGCTAATACTGTCGCTACCACTAGTGCCCTCGGTACAGCTGGGCCTTGAAAAACACAAGTGTCGTCATATTAAATACAATATGTATAGTTACAGGATACAGTATAGCAGAATGAGCGCCATACAGAAAACAGATGCAATATGATTACAGTGCGTGAGTACAATGTTATAGTGTATGAGTACAGTGTGCCAATGCAATGTATCGGTATAGTTTGGGGAAGGTTACAATGGAGATGCCAGTGTATGAGTGAGAATAAGGTAATGTAGTGCACAACAGAGTTAATAGTGAAATGCATACTGAAATGGAGAAAATTACTTGAATACCGTGGAGACCAAGCAGCATCTCTTTCCTCTGCACCATGCCCATCAAAGAAGCGACCAGGGCGAGGAGGCTCTCTGTATACTCAATGGGTGCCTGCAAGTGCATTTGTCCGATCAACATCTGGAATAAACATATTTTCAATAGAAATGTGGGGGTGCAAATTGTAAAGCGTGGTCTATACCTGAGACGCGCCCCGCACTTCGACATACTCGTGCCTTGTCTCTGCTAGCTCGATCGAAATCTAGTAAGCAGTCCTATTCGGTCGCCAACATGTGAGCACGGTGGGAAGCTCTGGCCAACGAGTGGTCTGCCCAACAGGGAGAGCTCCTCTAGTATGGGCCCTGGTCGCCTGAGTCGCCTCACCCGCCATAGGAGCTCCTACTCCATTGCCTGTGTGAGCGCCCGTCAGAGAAGGCATAAGATAGGTCTGAATAAATGTCGTGTAGTCGCCCTCTCCTCTAAAGAAGTCAGCGTCTAGGCCTACCATGAACTGTATGATCGCATCAACTGATAGGCTATCCGCTATCCTCATAGATGCTGGGGGTGGCATCGGAACAACTGGATCGGGCGAACCCGCGGTCTGGCATACAAACCGCTTGCTTAGAAACCAGGCAGGGTAGAATGGTCCCTCTAGTAGAATCCAGAAGCGAGATGTGCCCCAAGCTCCCGCATATTGGTCCCTCACCCCGGCCGACATCGTCGCCCATAATTGCCATGTGATCTATAAACAGAGAATATAAAGATTATTAGTTGTCGTCAGTTGCCAAAGTATGAATTAGTGCAGTATTAAAGCAAAAATGATTGTAAATTTTGGGTTACCTCGTCGGCGACCACTATATCGAAATAACGGCGGAAGAAGGCGAAGGTCTCACGACTCTGGCACTGGCACCGACTGTTGTACCGTCGTGAGAAAGAGACAATAGGGGGGATTTTCTTTATAGGCTCTGGAGCGAGGGCCAAAAAATACACGTAAACCCATAACTACAAGGAAAGGGCAGCGATGTTATCAACAGTGTCAACAGATATAGAAAATGCAAAGCAGAAAGCACAGGGCATGAGCAGATACAGAAAGTGCAAAGCAGAAAGCACAAGTTTTGAACAGATATTGAGCAAAAATAAAGCAAGAAATGTGGGACAGAAAGCATAAGTACAAAATCAAAAAGTGAGGTACATACCTCCCAAGCTCTCTAGTAGCCTCCAACTCGCTCTCCCCTCCTTCAGGAAGTAGAGCTTATATAGCCGTAGAGGGTGGCGAGGCCAGCTCTGCTCTAATCATAAAATCGCACCCAGGGCAGGGTCATCAGGGTGCTTAGTAGGTATAAACCTATGGTGTTCCACCTGTTCAAAAATAAGGTGGTACCGAGGAGAAACATCAGGAAACCATGGGCATACTGCTCCATCTCCTCTTGTATCTCGGGCTCGCTTCCGCAGAATCGATTGGCTAACCAACTGTATCTCACCATGGCCAGTTGGTATAAGTGTGGGCGCACCACCAACAGGTGGATCCAAGCGGCCTCCCACTCGTCCATATCCGTGTCGAAAGGGATCGGATCACCCCCTACTCCTAAGCTTGTGATCATGACAAAGTCGTAGGAAGTCATCGACATCTCCCCGACAGTAGAGAGGTGGAAGGAGTTGGTGGTATCCCACCACCTCTTCACCGGCGCTCCGAGAAGTGGCCGGCTCGCTATGAGGTATTACAGTCCAGAGCAGAAAAGGCCAAAGCCAGTCCCATCGACGATATGGCGAACCCTGGCAAGGAGCTTATCATACCAATCCCTCGCTGTCGTCGCTCTATACCCCTTGTAGACACGGGAGTCTCCCTGTGGCAGAGAAAAAGAGTGAATCAGGCAGTGATGAAAGAGCAATCAGATGAAAGACAATGCAAGAAATGCAGTTAAAGAAATGACAGGAATGCATGAAAACAGAGTTCATACCTCAGTAGCGCTGGAAGAAATGTGGGAGTATGGCTTCCTCAGAAGGAGATCCTCTGGTATGCCACGAGCAAATTCATTGAAATGCCTAATGCCTCCAGGTAATAATATATGCATGCGAGGATGATATGTCGCCGGATCGAATGGCCGCACTCTCAGTGGTAACGGCTCTGGCTCGAACTCTGGCGCAAACTCCGCCTCAAGGTCAGCCTCAATGTCCTCTGCCACCCCACGCAGCCTCGACAATTGTTGGCTCCTCTACCTCGGCTATAGGTGGAAACACATGTGGAACCTCGAGAAGAGCTCCGTCGTGAGGTATATCGTTTACCATCTGGGAAAATGGGTGAAAAGTGGGTGAAAATGAAGAAAAATGGAGAAAAGAGAGAAAGCTTGAAAAAGTCAACCCTAGGAGAGAGAAAATGGAAGAAAAAGTCAAAACTCAGGAAAGCTCCTGAAACCCGAGAGAAACTAGAGAGAAACAAGCCTAAAGTGGTAAAAATCCAAGAAAAATGT